AAGGTAGTAGACCAGGAAGGCACCTGATCCTCAATAATAGATTTGTTTTGGGGTTCTCAATTGTGAAAAGTTTTTTCCACTGGAAAAATTGCTCATGTAATCTTCCTTTCCTTAGCTCCTGAGGCCAATGATTATGATTCATTAGCTGATATAGTTTTCCCTAGGTTTCTTCAAAACTGACAGCTTTCTCACAGGAATTCTCACAGGAATTCTCACAGGAATCCAGATTTGTTTTGGTGGTAGTTTATTATAGAGGGTCCCCTGTTTGTTTGAGGTAGGGGGGTGGGGCCTATTTACTAATCAGGATCCAACATTCCCTTAAAGATGAGGTGCAAAGTGCAAGAAGACTTCGCTGCTGAAGAAAATATAACATCGCACGCAATCGGGCAACCTCTTGAACTTAAATGAAATATTTTTTCTCTGAAGGCAAACTCTTCGAGTGGAAGCATGGGATCGCGACCAAGTTCCGATCGTGCAGATGAGCTGAGGCGCGCGACCGTTCCAAAACTTTGGGAGATGTGTTGGTTTCATGGCAGGTGTGCAGAAGAACCCGTCATAAGCACCCAAAATCAAGATCAAACCAACCTCCAAACCTTCCCCCTTTGCAGGCAGGTCTTGGGAAGCGCACTTGCAAAGCGCTGCTGATTCTCTCCATGACGTGTGCTCGAAAAACGAAAACGTCAAATGCCTTTCAGAAGACCTTCAAGTTGACCAAACATTATTTTGAACGTGTGGAATGCAACGGCAAGGCGGCGCAATGCAACGTTCTCTTGTTGTGGCTGCAAAGCGTTGTGGACAGCATGGTTTCCCCAGACCCTCTCATTGCCACTCTCTTGTGGACCCTCAACACAGTGCTGGATATCATGTTTGCCGGCCGCAAAGTTGGCCATATCTTTTCGCAGGAAAAGGCCGACGAAGTTAATGTTTTGGGGACTGTTTTCCTTGAGGCGCACCTTCAATTGCATCAAGTGATCGCTTGAGATTGAATATTTTTGTGTTTCGCTCAGACCGGATCGTTCGGGCCGAACAGTTTCATTGCAAATGTTTCGCGACAATGCATTGGGAACCCCAGTAGTCACTGAGAACGGACATGCACTTGTTTCGCGCGCGTCACTTTTCCACCCTACCGTTCTGCCACCTAACTGCTCTTTCCTTCATCACGCACACACTAACTGCAATTGTTCGTTACTCCGAAGACTCTAATCGAAATTGAAACTTGCAACACATCAAAGTGAATCAAATCAAACCTATCAGCAGTTCAAGCAGCAATAGAAACAAGTAGCAGTCATAGGCATCCACTCCCTCCTTGTTGTTTCGCTTTAGGTCGTGCTTGCGAACCTGACATGGGTCTACTGGTGTGTCAGCAGTTTCTGAGCTGAAATTCTGGGCCTGTTTCTTCTTGGTCGCACCCGTCTTCTTATATGGCCAATACCTTTTCTCGCCCCGTATTGCCAGTGGCACCTGCCAACTCAGCTGAGGCATAGAAAGCGAGAATTGCATCAGGTTCGCATGCCATTGCAGAACCAATCATGTACGGAGCCAACCATTTTGTCAGTTCATGGTTCATGTCCAAGTACAGTCAGTACATTTATATACTCTATTTACTGTACATCTATTTGCACTGGGTTGCAAACGCCGCCTTGTTCTTAATGAGGAACCGGACGTGATCCTCCCAACAACAGGTCGGTCATGATCGATCCACGCAAACAAAACATGTTTGTCGGCCCGCCTGCGGTGAGTGACGCAGAGAGTTGCTTTCAGCATAGACTGAGATTTTTGATCTTGATGGCATTCTTTTCACGCTTTGGTACTCACTATCATCCGACAAGTACATGTTTGCAAACCCGGTGTCAGGACTAAAATTGGCGTTGACACTTTTGAGGTCCTGCCCCAGGCCCACAAGTGGGGTTCTGCTGGTCCGTACCTGCTTATAATGCAATCCAGTGTTGCCTACTTCCCCAAGTCTCAGCTTAGCTTGCAAGGCGCCGGAAGCAAAAATTTCAGCGCTTGAATTGCCCTTGCGAGCGTCGGCCGCAATACTCAAGCGGCTTTGCCGCGACCGGTCTGACTCCACATGCATGCCCGATTTCCTGTCAAGCTCTATGTCGAACGCATCTCCAATACCTGAATTAATATTGGCCTTCCCATATGAACAGTTGGTGTGTCCATTGACCTTCTCCATCGAGACGCCGAGTTTTTGATGCGCTTTGTAAGACACGTCGTGATCGCAACTCATGTTGCCACTCTGTTGATAACAAGCTCCTTTACCGTCCCTGTAGACAGCTGACTCAGCTTGAGCGTAGAAAAATCTCCTCTCATCAGGATCCCTCGGGATGGGACCCAAATCGGGCAACACATCCACAGGGTTGGAACCACGAAGGTTCTCACGTCTCTCCTGCGGGGTGAAATCAACCCTCTTTGACATTGCGTCAAATGTGCCACTGGCAGCACAAAAGCCTGCTACTGACTGTCACGCCCCCATTATCTAATTGAAACCAACTTCTGGAGAATGAACTCACATCTTGAAGAGTTTGAGTTACAGTTAAACTTTGACCTGTAACTTCCATCAAAACATAAGCTCGCTAGCAGTCCAATCTTTGTATGGCAGTCACAACATGGCAAAAACCTGAGCCAAATTGGCGACATGCAAAAGCAGAAAGTAGCGGATGATGCGATACTCACACTGCATGTTGCCGCAACTCTGATAGAATGGGTTCAAGACTAGCGGATCCTGTGTCGCTGCATCTCTTTTCGATTGCCCAGGGCCCAAGACAAGGAAGCTTTCGCAGTTTAGTGTGAACTGTTCAGCGCCCAACAACGCTTTCAGCTTTCTCTCATCGCAGCAGCTTCCAAAAGGCCTTCAACCGGTTTGGGTCGATTGGCAAGGCGTAAACATAACCGCTGACATTCACTACTGCTCTGGTGCCGTTGATGGACAAAACACCGGCTGATCACCACCATTCTTCTATTGTGAAGGTCTGATAGATTAAGTGCAAAAGTTAGGATGCAGAAGGAGGAGATCGATCGTATGTCAGACGTGGAACGATTTCGGCAGCGCTTGCGAAACTTTCAGGCGCACGACAAACAGGCGCAAATTCCGACACACCACGATCGAACTCAGACACCGGCGCGATATGCAACTTCCTTGGCAACAACATGGTGCGTGGTGGGGGTAGTACCCCCATCATGATTAGATCCACATTTTCAACACCTTGATGTGGGAAGGGCAAATGATTGAATTTCTTACAGTACTGTTCTCTACTGTTCTCCTCCCGTGTGCTTTCTGCACTGCATCCGCATACATGTTTCGCAGCTTACGTGAATGTGCGATATGTTTTTCGCCGCCGGCCACTGACTCTGCTCGAACACATAGGGCTCTTGTGAGTCTTAGAGCGGCGGCGACATTGACTTTGCGAATGCAATTGGGAGGAATGAATGAGAGCGTGATCCAGGGCATTTTTTCACTGCTGACATGTCGTTTGGTTTGCAGTTGAAGTTTTTACAGCCACCTTGTTAGAACTGATATTACCTCGTGCGTCCATTGACCTTCTCCGTTTTGCCTGTTGGGTGGAAGGTTGAGTCCCTCCGTTCTGCCCGGCTGGTCCAGAAGGTTGGAACCGCGAAAGCCCTGACAGCGCGGTCACTCAGCTGGCAGCGCAAAAGCTTGCTGCTGACTGTCACCCCCAGCCCAAACTATCTCCTAAAGTGTAATTAAACTAAACTCACGTCTTCAAGGATTTGAGTCAAGTTTGAACCTGAAATTGTGAAAACACTGGCTCACTAGCAGTCCAATCTTTGTATGGCTGTCACGACATGGCCACAGACTGAGCCACATAGGCGAAATTCAAAGGTGCAAAAGTCTGTGAATGTTTACTGAAGCTTCCCGGACTTTTCAGGATATCTATGGTCAAAATCTCAGGAAAGCATCCACCAGTCTCCATCAGCTGTCTAGTCTCTTTCTCAGTGTCAAGCCTTGGAGCTTCGCGTACCTAGTGTATAGCGACTTCAAACTTGAAAATGGATGCACTGCATCTCGGATTTTCTCAGTGCTTCCTCAACTACTGTCCATAACGACGCAAGCCCTCTCAGATGCGGGATACAAGGTCTTCCACCATGTCCATCGTTGTCCATCCATCTGATCCATCCATCCGATCCATCTGCTCCTCGAAGTCCAAGGTCGACGAGGAGCCAATCGGTGCCAAGGCGCCCCGGACCAACGTCCGGGGCGAGGCCACGAGCGCCTTTCAAATGTGCTGGCAAGGAACCTTTCGAAATCTGGTATGGGCGTTCGGCGCCCAACAACGCCTTCACTCCTCATAACAGCTTCCAAAAAGCTCTTCGACCCAGACAGGAAAAACAATTGGGACTGGCTCCACTCTGGAGGCAGCTGCTATGAGCATGAGGTGAAATAAAAAGACTGGCGCTTGCAATATACCTGCTTCTCTTGCATGACGTACTGGCAATCGGAGGCCAGATCAGGCCATCGCAACATCAACTTGTTTTTTGGGTCTTCAGGTAGTAGCCATCGGGAGCTTCTACTACATCGTGAAGATCTGAGTGTCTCCACCCTCACGGGGATGTTCGTGCACTTTTTGCCCAGGACTTTTGCTCTCACCATCTTCAACCATGTCTAGGACCAGTCACAAGAAGGGGCAGCCTCACCGCAAGTTCCTGAAGGGAACACTGTCATCCTGCCTATAGAAGGAGCAAAGGCTGAAGAGGTGCCAGGGATGTGGGATATATGAAGGGAACAGGTAAGATCCCAGAAAGTGGGTTGGTCCCATTCACTCTGGTCACACATAGCAAGGGAAGGACACCAGCCCAGCAAGCCTGGGCCCCGCTGTCCTAGAAGGATATGCTCAGCTAGAAGTGCGGAGGGCAGTAAAGAAGATACTGGGTCCAATCAAATCTACATGCTGGACCGACCATAGCAATTGGACGAGGCAACAGACTGCCGAAAATGTAGAGCCCAAGCATCTGCGCTGGTTGAGCGACAGCTGGCTGATGGTTCAGAACTCCGGAGCTTGTCCGGGAGAAGTGCAAAATGAGGAGATGGGTCTTCGAGGACTCCGCCCGAGAGGGATCAGCTTTTGGAGCAAAGAAGCAAGGATCAGCTTTTGGGTTGATCGGACCATTCCACGGATTTTCGTCTGGAAGGGTATCTCGGTAAAGAGTCGAACAACATCTTACCGTGGTCCATCGGAGAAGAAGTTCTGCCAGCAGAAGAACTCACACAGCAAGGAGGCTGTGTCGACCATCACCGCGTTCGTTACCCAATTTGGAGACGACTGAGATGCTCAGAATTTAGAGAATATGTGCGCAGCGGGAGATTTGGCCAGATCTCAGCGTGCTCTATGTCCCAGACGTATCGGGACCAGCGAGGCTGAAACAGACCCAAGAGCTTAGTAGAAGCACGCAGAGCTGGTGCCGCCCGAACCAAAAGGAAATTGCCACCGAAAAGGGCATGGCTGTCATGCAGAAACTGTCAGGAAGAAAGCTTGCAAACGCTAGGACGCTACGAAGTAAGGAACATCAGCCATTTACTTCTGATGAATCAACCACTCGAGACGTGCAAAAATGGATCTGCATGCTACAATGCTGCTACAAGTACTATCGTCTTAATGATTTGAGTGCATCCTTCAGCATCAAACATCAAAAAAGAAATATGGCACAACAACAAATTGTGTAGCCAGTCCTCCTGGTTCAAGCCCACCTGGAGGAAGCGTGTCGTTCTTTCTTCATTCGCCCGGCCCTCTGAGTCTGTCTCCCTCTCTCTGTATTTATTTTCACAAACACATCTACCGTATACAATTTCCACGTACACTATTTGAATGGACATCTACAAATGACAAAATGATGGAGCTAGAATCAGCTAGAGCGGTATACGGTATAAGTCGCAAAACACAGAAGGTGATGTTGCAAAACGTGTTGTCTGCGCACGGCTGATTGACATACGGTCAACATCCAATGGGAGCCTCGTCGTCAAACTGCGACAAATCATCGTGCACGTTATACTGCAGCGCAGCCTCCCGCAGGGCCCACCCTCCAGTTGATTCAATTCTTCCCCAATGTTTTGGTTTCTCTGTCTCTTTCCCTACAAGTTTTCTTGGTCATTGTGCTTCCCGGGTTTCCCAGTTTTGCCTCGAGGGGCATCTGGCCAATTACATCTCCGTTCTGGCCACAATAACACTTGGTCTTAGACTTGGAGGCAGCTGACATAATATCAGTCCTTTCGATCCTGCGTCGCCAAATTGCCCTGTTCCTGTTCCGACGAGAACGACAACAAGAACAACAAGGCGCGAACATCATGCTGCTTCACAACCACGAACAAAGCTCTTGAGACACTGCACAATATTGAACACAGAACGAACAAAAATAAAATGTGACAAAGTCACCATTGGCACCAAATGTCTTGTTAGGTCTGTTTTTCATATCTTTTGGCGTGCTGTGTAGTCACCCGCACACAATTTTGCGGATGCACTAGATCCTAGTTAATGATTCTGTATGGTGACAAGTTTTTACTCATTGATCTCAAGATCCCCACACAAACAGGAAAAAGAGAACGTGTTTTTTTTGTGGGGGGCATTCTTGTTTACCATCCGCGCGGTACAAACGGTAAGAATCGATGTTTCGTGCTTTTATCGTTTTTACTAGGGGGATCGCCCTTTTTCTTTTACCACCTGCGCGGTAAAAATTGCAAAAATTAATTACACCAGCATAAACCCAGATAGCTAGGCAGAATCCCACGACCTGTTGACATGCGACTGGCTGGAACAAGAACGTACGCAGCCTGCACAGCTAGCATACGGCACCTCCACAGCGCACACAATCAGCTGACACCAGCACCGGTGCACTTTGCCAGCTGACAACACCGGCAGCGGCGCCAGCGCCCGACCAGCGCCGCCGCCCGTCTTAAACGCGCGCTCAGCCAGCTCACAGCACCAGCACCCAGGACCACAACACCAGCACCAGCACCGACACCCTTTCGAAAGCGCGCGCAGCCAGCTCATTCTTATTTGCAGCAAGAACCCCATAGCTATCCCTAATTGGGGAATAACAACGTATGATCTTTGCGCGTATAAGTTTATGCACACAAAAGTATACGCGCAAACAGCAAAGCCCGTAAGTGTCATTGGCCCAAGGCCAAGCAGTATCCAGCGCCACTATTGACTTTGTAGCGCACTTGAAGAAACGATCTGCAGAACGATAAAGCCGTATGATCTTGCGCGAATAAGCTTACGCGCACAAACATATGCGCACAAACGGCAAAGCCCGTAGACTTCCAGCACGACTGTTGTGTGTGTGTGTAGCATGACTGTTGTGTGTGGTTGAGAGCCTGACGTTGCGCATAGAACATTATCCGTACAAAAGTATGCGCGCAAACAGTACGGCCCTTGACACAGCTGTCGGCAAAAGCAGAACCTGAAGAGTGTAAATACCCCACAGCGCTAATAGACAAAGAACGCTCAAGCGACAACACCGTATGATGTTGCGTGCATAAGTTCGTGCGGCCCGTGACTGCTGGCACTTCATTGTCAGAAGCGGCGCTTGGTCGCCCTTCACTGCTGCAAGCGGCGGTTTGTTACCCTTCACTGTCAGAAGCGGCGGTTCTTATCACTTCACTGTCAGAAGCGGGCACCAGCACCGAGCACCAGCACGCCAGCTCACGGCGCCCAGCACCAGCACCCAGCAGCACTCGGCGCCCAGCACCCGGCACCCAGCACCCTGTCTCCACCACGCGCACAGCCAGCGCCCAGCACCGGCGCCCAGTCTCCACCACGCGCGCTGCCAGCTCACAGCACCAGCACCAGCACCGGCGCATGCTGTCTCTACCACGCGCACTGCCAGCACCCAGCACCGGCACCCTGTTTCCACCACGCGCACAGCCAGCTTACAGCACCCAGCACCAGCGCCACAGCCAAGCACCAGCGCCCGGCGCCAGCACCCAGCACCGGCACCGTGTCTCGAAAGCGCGCACAGCCAGCTCATTATCATTCGAAATGATAAGGACCCCACAGCTGTCGCTATCTGGAGCAGGCGCGCAGCCAGCGCGACCCAGCACCCGGCACCGGCAGCCTGTTTCCACCACGTGCACAGCCAGCTCACAGCACCACCAGCACCGGCACCCAGGCACTCTGTCTCCACCACGTGCACAGCCAGCTCACAGCATCAGCACCTACCTGTCTCGAAAGCGCGCGCAGGCAGCTCATTGTTGTTAGTTGAAGTATGAAGCCCATAGCTTCGCTATCTGGGAAGAAGATCCGAAAATAGCCCCCCTTGCATATGCAAGCCACACCACCAGCACCAGCACCGGCACCCGGCACCAGCACCACCAACCTGTCTCCAACATGTGCACAGCCAGCACAGCACGAGCACCAGCACCGGCACCCGGCGCCCACAGCACCAGCACCAGCAACC